TCAGCATTAGGAATTACATACTTGGTCCAAAGTTGATGGCTTACGTCAAAACGCAAGAAAAATACCGTTAACAGTTGACGTTAAAAAAATTGTTGATTATTGTTAGAAATAAATGTTTGAGGTATTTTTAAACAAACTTTAATAAAACGCCATGTTTTTTTTTTTAAAATCGTATGAAATTACCTACTAAACTTTTCCCATAGTTAAAATTAGAAACCATATCGCTTTCAAAATTATAAAAGCTCGCCGATTGGCTGTGTGAAAGGTCACCAGAAGTCGCTTCGTATTTGGTGACGGTCAGATCTAAGAGCGGAGGGTTTTTTAGAGCGGATTTTTATCAGACTGGACATTCAACGATCCTTAAAGCTTAGCAAGGGTCAACGAACTTTTTTTTAACATACCTTGTTTATCGACCCAGCTGTTTTATTTTTGGCTGTTATGATATAATCAATGTGCCTTGCCTGGATGATCATTGTTGTTATATTTTTCCAAAAATCCAAACATTTATTATTGAAAGATTGACTCTTATAGGGTGATAGATAAACTAACTGTTTTTTTTAATTGACATCCAATATAGGAAGTTAATAGTTTCAGGTGGTTATAAGCGCATATTGACTGTAGATTCATTTGATACAAAATATATTAAATCTTAAAAATATATATTTGAATTGCTAACAATTAGCACATATATGCATTTTGAATGATCTTTTGTTAACAATAATCAGAAGTTGTACGAGACGCATGTTCTTGAGAGAGTTGATTGACCAGGTCTGACAGTCCTATATGTGCAGTTACACTTTAGCTCATTTTTTTGAAGAATAGGGAGAGCTTTCGTACTCACCCCAGCTATTCTGCCACCATCACACTTTGGTTAAGGTTTTGCTTGCAAGTTGGTATTTCCTAATCTACTTAGAAAAATAGGTTGACACCTCACACACTTGTTTTTTGTGATTAACTATAAAGAGCACAGGCCCGATACCTTTTCTATAAAGCTAGGCCCTTTTCTTACTGATAAGCACTGAAAATAGTTGAGCATGCTGTCTCAAGAGCACAGGTCCTATACTCTTTCTAAAAAATAAGGCCCCTTTTCTTACTGATAAGCACTGAAAATAGTTGAGCACTCAAGAGCACATGTCCCATACTCTTTCTAAAAAGTAAGGCCCTTTTTCTTACTGTCAAGCAATGAAAATAGTTTAGCATGCTGTCTCAAGTGCACATGTCCCATACTCTTTCTAAAAAGTAAGGCCGCTTTTTCTTACTGATATATAAGCGAAATATATATTTTATGAAATATGTCGTGTTTTTTGGAAAATGAACTTTCTTTTCCATCTGTCACACGGTGGTGATAGAAATTTAAAAGTGGCGTGGATTCGTGGATTCAGTAAAAGATGCACCTGATGCACGCCGTCCGAAAACTGCAACTTCGCCAAAAGTGGTTGAGAATGTAAAGGATTTGATTGCTATTGATGCAAATTTACAACTAGGTTTATAGTTAAATGTGTTTGTAAGTGCAAGATGGAAACCCCATCTCCTTACAAAACTGCAAAAAACTTGCTTGGGTAAAAATCTCATCACATCAAATAACTATCTTACAGAAATATGCTGCCGGACAATGTCGTTAAAATGTCGAAAAATGTCGGCTGATAACTACATGTATCGATATAACACAAAAATCTCTCAATAATAAAAATGAGAATAAAACCTACAAAATAATAAAATAAAAAATAGAAAAGGAAGCCTAAAATCATTGACAACAGAAATCATAGAAACAAATAATAAATAATAATAATAATCATAATCATTGTTTATTTATTTAAAAATGTTTATAATTTTTTATGTTTTCGTATGCCATGTGACTATGTTTAATCAAATCTTTTGTTAAACAAGACGATGCACCTATGTACAATTCTGCAAATTAAATTCTGTTCTGTTTTGTTACTAAAAGATTTAACTTATTTCTTATCATTTTATTTATAATCAAACAAAAAGCAGTTTGTTAAAACTAAGTATGACTTTATTTATGTTTATTAATATACATTACTTTTTATGAAATAACACCACAGTTAACAAATGTTAACTCTAAGATAAAATTATGCATTTAAAATTTATACTAAGCATATAAGAGTGGGTATGAATTATAGGTAGCATACCCCGATAATTGAAACCACAGCTTCGAATGACCAGAGAGGATTTCTTGGGTATAGTTTAAATGACTGGTTTTCTTTAAAGTGCATTTTCAACATGAAATTTGTCTTTGTGCCACCAGAAATCACATGCTGTTGATTAAAGATGCGAAGACCGCCCTTTTTGTAACCATTGCTTCTAAACAGCATACTCGGTTAAAACAAGTCTATTTAAGGGTAAACAAATTTTGAGAAATAACAAAAAATCTACAAGTCCAAGTACCTGTTTCTTTGTGATACATTTTGTATTTTGCATGTTTAGGAAGTTGCTAAAGCATTGCCGGTAAATTGCAGGTATTTCTAGCCAGAATTGTGTTGTTTTGGGTCTCGGGCCACAGTAGATTTAGGGCTTCAAAGAAACGAATTACATTTTTTTTGATGGGATAAAAAACATTGTGGTCATCATTGCTCTTTACAAAATGTGTTTTTTTCACCAGGTTGTGCAGCTTGGGATCAGAATTATCACACGAATTGCTTGTAGGACATTGACAAGCCTGGGATTCAGGCGTTGATATTTGTGCTTGTTAATAACATACGCGCTTTTTCATACTCGATCGTCAGAGATAGCACAACATCTCTGGTTTTGATTGTATCAATTTGCCGAACAGAAGCACATAAAAAATCGACAGGCTGGAACCCAGGCAAGACACTGACGACAGTTTCTTGAAATTTATCGTGGAGTGCTATCTTACAATGACACTATATATTGTATATTTCATAATAAACCGTTTCAGGTTTCAAATCCACAGTAATATTTCTCTCTGTTCTCATAGCCCATAATATGGAAAACAACAACAACAAAAACAAAAACAACAATAACAACAACAACAACTAATAATAATAATAATAAAAATAATAATAATAATAATAATAATAATAATAATAATAAATAAATAAATAAAAAAAAGACAAAAAAAACAACAACAACAAGAGAACTCCGAATAATACGAGCATTCTTTTAGTTTCGCTTTCGACAAGCAATAGTTAAAACATATTAAAACTACTTTTTTTGGAGGCATTATGATTTTTTACTAGATCTACGCAAAAACGTTTATGGGCATAAATATTTCTGATTTAATAATTCCATTGGGAAGGGGTGTTGAATTGAGAATTTTTATATCATTATTATCTATTTATTAGTTTTATTGCTGTTTGAAATAAAATAATTGTCAGTAATGTCCTAAATAAATTTGTCGTAAAATATAATACAATTAAAGTTGACGCTTATCAAATTAGAATTACATGTAGTTCCTTAAAGATAATACAAAAAGAAAACAGATGTGAAAAAAGGAACAGAAGATAGCAATTATGAATTATGAATTTGTGACAAAGCGTCTCTTACTACTTTGATTTCGGCAAAAGGAATAAATGTGTAATGGAAAAATTACGAAGTTCCACATTATCAAGTAATCTATTTGTAGGAAAATAGTAGAATGATAACATAATAACATAACAAGAAATGATTTCATATTCGGAAACAAAATGTCCTTATGTTATAACATGCTTTGGAGACAGTTAATATGTTTCAGTATAAATTAGAACAAAAACATGCTTAATATGCTTAGTGTTTTAATAGTGAAAACAATAACACAAGATGGCTAACAGGCAGAGATGATAGTCAATGTGGTGTCAAGGCTAATATTGGATAATGAGTTTGTACATATTCATTCAGTAGTTTGTTGTAAAACATGTTTTAACATGATACTTGCTTCTCACTTGATAATAAGGAAATTGGTAAACGTAATTTCGTAATTTACCAATAAGATAAACAAAACCAAACATGTTTTCTTTGTATTTTAATGGCAATACTTTAATTTCGTAAGAAGAATCTAGGGGGAAATATGGGGTTAGATACTTCACAAAATGCTAAGAAGCTACGACCATCAATATATATATTAAAACAGAATTTTTTCATCGCATATTAGACATATTCTTAAGAATATGGACAATACTTGGCCATATACTTAAACTTAATGAATACAGTCATATGCGCCAACCTAAATGCATCTGTGAAGAATGATACAAAATGGAGTCAAGCACCCCTTGACTAGGACAGGCAAACAAACTAAAAAGCTGAATCTTATAATGTTATCTATATTTCTCAGGTATGGGGTATTCATATTATTAAACAAAATGAAAAAGGGATCCTGTTTCTTTGGCTTAAATTTCATTCAAAATTCGTTTGTAAAAGAAAGAATGATTTTTGCATGACGGTCATGCATGCGAATACATGTGACAGGTACAAGTGCGAGCTGCATAACATTACCAGCCAGTCAATCTCGTCCGAAAGACATTATCATTTATTTTGGTCGCAAAAACTTATTTTTCTCCATGGTTAATATAAAGGCTTCATTTGCCTTCCGTGCATCAAAATACTAAACATCACAAAAATCGACTTTTAAACATATTCAGTATCATTCAGTGAATCACTGTATTCAAATTCTATAGGTCACTTTTAGGTGTATAAAAATCATTTAGGACATGAATGGTGACGTTTCCGGGGTTCGTACTCTCAGTGCCTGAAAATGTGATTGCCACCATACTTTCCACTAGGCTATCGTTCCACTATGCCTTAAATTTAACTAACGGAAAATTTATCAGTCTCAGGTCAATTTTGCCAAAACAATATTATAAATGTAAATAAATCTATATTACGAAAGGTTGTTGGTTCTCAACCAGCATGAAATAATACACGGAATTAAACATGATGTCTTCACCAGTAAAGCTGAAACGTTGCCATAAGACCTATACTGTGTCGGTGTGCTGTAAAAGCAATCAATCAAACAAACGAACATGAATAAATTAAGGAAAAACTACCGTCCCGAGATTAAAACTGATAAATAGGGTTTAAAACTATAGAAGTATCTGAATGTTAAATTTGACATTAATTATTAGAGATTGGTAGAAATTGGGCTCTGGCGTAGATTATAATACATTCACAATCAATAATAAGTTTTACAAGAAAAGAATTATTAAAGGACTTCATAAAATTATTTTCTTTTCGACGAAGCAGGATAAAGCTAATAAGGAGTAACCAAGTAAGTTTTCATGAAGACAAGGTATGTGTTTGTATCTATTTGTAAACTATTGTATAATCCTTAGCTGGTTTAATACTTTAAACTTCCATTTAAGTTCAATAAAATGAAATAATAGCACAATAAATTAATTAATAAATGAAATTAACAATTAATTGAAAATAAACAAATAAATAAATAAATAAATAAATAAATAAATAAATAAATAAATAAATAAATAAACAAGCAATTATCACAGACATTTGGGGTGTGAAGCTCAAAAAGCCTTTAAAATCCAATTTAAATGTATATTTGTCAATCCCAGCACATGTACTGATCATATATATATGAAATATATCAATATATATCAATAAAACTTAATATAAGCCGTTTTGAAAAAAATCATATTTCAACCTGTATAATATTATTATATTATAATACAGTAAGAGGAATTGGTGCTAATGAATTAAGAACATACAAAATCTTATATCTTCATTATATGTAGTGAGAGCTTTTAGAACATTTCGATGTTGTGTAACACCGCTAAGAATATAGACAGGTGGCTATGATAATATTGATGTCTAAATTAAATAGAACATGTTGTATTTGTCTTGAATCTGCTGAAGATGACATGAATAAATTGCTACACTGTCCATTATATATAGAGGATATTAAATGAGTGTAGTTTAATACTAAATTTATTGAACGAGTTGAATAAAATCATATTATGCGAGCCTCTGACGAGCATAATATCGTTTTATTCAACGAGTTCAATAAATTTAGTATTGAATATACACGAATATAATATTCTATTTATCACATATGTAAAATAAGAACAGTAAACTGTTAAAATGAGTAATTTTTCAATGACGCGCCCATAGTGTAACGCTAACATTAGCGCGCTTTAACGCTATGTTTCCATATAGCGCAAATGACGTCACATCAAAGTGTTATTACACTAGTGTAATATCGTTTTTATTAAATGGCTTTATTACATTCCTGCGCCGCGGTTTATGTGATAAATTGATATACATGTTTTAAGCATTTGATCTCTGTTCTCTAAAAAAATATGGTAAATTAATCACAAAATCTCGAATATTGAAATTATCTTCAAAGGCCTGTCACAAAAGTTTACTAGAAAGAAATTTGTCTTTCTTTTAAAATTAGTTTTATTGTTCAATGTTTTAATATATGTGGAATAATATTTTTTAATCAATATTGTATGTTCTTTTATCACATGAAAGAAGATATCGACGAATACACATTTAAGACTTTTCAGATCAATTAAAATAAATGAAAATTATCTGAGTTTAATCACAAGCAGATGAAAATTCACAGACATTTGATGACTGCTACTTGATTTATTTGTGAATAATTTTCGTTTTATTTTATGCAATTCTTATATTATTACCTTATATGTAAAGAATCATACAATTCATATTTAACAGGACATTTTCCATAATATTGCAATGTTAAATATCTTTTGATGTACTTGATAACAGGACTTTAATAAAGTTTCATATATTATCTCTTTAAAGGTTAGGCTTGCTTCTTTAAAAGAAGCATTTGCTTCTTTAAAAAGAAGCATGCGAGAGGTCTTTTACAGCTCTGGAAAATTTGTTCAATTGTTCAAATTGCGGGAAGTAAGAACTTCTGATTGGTCGAATTGCATCTACGAACAATAGCAAGTCAACATATCGGCTATTCCCTTCAGTTCCCTGAAATGCACAAATTAGGAATAAAAGGCGAGGTGTTTCGAAGTTAAAGATGCAGCAAAATGTTCATACACGGTTCACTAGGTCATATTCTAGTGCTCGGTGATATTGTTACGAAATTAATCTGTTTTAACAGAAATCTGTCTAAACACGTCAATTAAAATAAAATTATGCATGATATAAATATACTAGCAACAGTCTTAAAGCAAATTAAATACTTAAGCTACAACAACTTAAGAACAACATCTCTTTAACTCCATTAAACAAAAAAAAAGAACTAACAAACTTTTTAGCTTATTTAAACTTTACTTGGCGCATGCAGGTAGCGTTATTTGCAAAAATTGGACACTCGCGCGACCCACTTGCGGAAACAACTCTGCACGACTCCTTGAGCGACCTGAATGCTGCGCGTGCTGACAGCCGAAGGATACGAGCCGCCTCAAATCGTGTTATTTATATTTATGGCGAATGTTGATTACAACCAATAATTGAATTGTGAACATTAGAATATGGGACAAGTTATGAGACCTTTATTTTTAAGAAAAAATTTGTATGGTTATGAATGACAAGTTGTACATTTGTAGTACCCTTTCGGGCAAAGTTTTTGCGTAATTTGACCTAGTTTTCGGAGAAATTGCAAATTTTCAACTACAGCTTAAAGTCAGTTTTAACCCATTTAGAAATAAACAATGGACAAAAGACAACGTTTAACACTCTTGACAAATTTTAAAAGCATTTATTTTCATGAATTCAATACTTTTAGAACCTTGCAGGTTTTTTCAAAAAGCCCTACGAAAGATGCAAAATTTGACGATTTTGCTCAATTTCACGCATAAGTTCTAAAGAAAATACATATTGTCAGAATATTCAAATACATGCTCCGCAATAATTTGTCTATGCTAAAGATTTATTCTAATTTTAAAAGCGCTTTGTTTGTAAACAAAGACATAGTCACGATCTAGAAAACATGCATAAACCGTGGTAATATTACGCCCGTGGGGTTATTACGCGACACCGGTATTTGAATAAGATAATGTTATCTTTATTTTATCAACTTTGTTCTGTCACAATGTTTTCTTTTTATAATGATAAAGACTACTTTACTTCAAATGCATATTTATAACTATTTGTTTTAAAATAATAATGCAAATTACATTTTCGTATTCTAAATAAGTTGAGATAAACCGCGTGATGTCTTAAGTGCAATACGCTTAACAATGAAGTTTATTTCAAAGGTAATCCCACAATACTAGCTCGATCAATGTCGTCTTTGATGTCTCACAGTTTATTTATATGTATTTTTTCTGTGTGTTTATTTTAGCTGTGCAAAATTTGTTTGTTGTTAAATTTGTTTTTGTATTTATTTTCTCTTTTTAAATAACTGCATATAAAAACCCTACCAAAAGTAAAGTTACAAAATACATATTGATTCACTATATTTATCACTCGTTGCATCTGAAGAATCATTTAGGAGTTCTTGGGGACCATTTCAGAAAAGACTATGACATGGATGATGGTAATAAATCATGTTATGTAAGTTTACTTAACTAGCGCAAACACTAAAATAAAAACAGTTAACATACATACATAAATACTTAATGCAGTTTAATTTGTAAAATAGTCTGATATCCGCTGTAGACTGGTTTGCAATAATGTGCAGCGCTGGAAAGTTGAAAAAAGGCAACATAATTTATAATTAAAAAAGGGGGCATACTTCTGCAAACATGCTTAAAAGCCTAACCTGCTCTTAATAGTAAACAAATATTTCAAGTTTAGCGGTTTTTAGACTAACACAAACATTCTAAGTTAAAAAGGAAATAATTTAGCAAAAAAAAATAGTTTAACCTTGGAAACATAAAATCAAATAAAAATGGGAGGTTACTTTGTGAGAAAGGATTATCTGCCCTTCTAAAATGTTGCTATTTTCGATATTTGATATGCATATAAAATTTACAGTGAAAAGTTTCTGAACCATGACGAAGAAGAAAAGAGGGTCAGGGGAATAGTACTACTTTTTTCTTCCAAAAGTTGAGCTACAAAGATTTGTTTTCGTCGGGACATATAGCGTCAAATCTAGAAATTTGATAAATTGTTGTCTAGGAAGAGATTGATATCAACAACTGTTTTATATTTTTGAAAATTGGACTTTCATTTATTGCATGGACATTCTAAGCATATATGAGTTAATATCACGGAAAGGGCTGAAAGGGACTCCACTGAGGTTTAAAACCCTAAAACATTACATTAGAATTTCTTACATAAATGAACTGGGACAGTTTAAACAGAAATGTATGCAAAGATAGTGAAAAAATATACCTTAAAATAAATCGAAAATCGTAGTTTTATGCTTTTCTTAGCCTAATTTGAGTGAAAAGCATTTAAACGCTTTTCATTTTGGGTCATTTGTTTACAATTTGAATAATTATTATGGAAAAACGAAGTGCGCGAATGATCTGAAAGTTTTGCACAAAGATTCGTGGTCTACACCTACATCAAATGATACATTTATCTTGAAAAAATATTTTCAGTCCCATCATGTCAAAAAACCTCAGTTGAGTCCCTTTAATCTGGAAAGGACTTAATCTATTGTTGTAAGAACTTGTTGCCCAATGGTTTGTAGCGGTAAAGGTATGACCTAGACTTTAAATACCCAGGATGTTTGAGTTTAAGTTTTTGAATTTTGCTAAGTTTGGCCAAAACTTTGTTTTTTTTAGATGTATAGATCAATTTCAATTTAAAAAAAAAAACAACCTAAGAAGGTCAACTGAACCTTTCCCTGTATAAGACCTTCACCTTTATTGTATCATTAATGAATTTCGATAACATTTGCCATAACTTTGTTATTTATGGACAAATCTGATTCATACTTTGATAATATAAAATTTACATTAAAATTGTCATATTAAACAATTCCGGTAATACATTGGCCATAATCTGACAAAAACCTTCATAGAAAATAAATTAAATTTAAATTTCTATTTCTTTGTTCATAATGGATTTATTTGAGCCACACTTTGGTTAACAAACAAATTGGACAATTCATTCAAGCGGAATAATTCATGTGTGACTTTGGCTTCAAAATGACCTTGAAATTCAATTCATCATAACGAATATTCATCACATTCGCATTAATGAACGCTTCGATTCTTACTGGGACGAAATGACCAATTGGCCATTTAATGTAATGAAATACGACCTTGACATTAAAATGATCTTGTCCCTCAAGGACAAATGCCAACAATGTATTTAATAATGTATTACTCCATATTATATCGTGTACAGGCTTGATAAATATAAGGACACAACAATGTGACAGATAGACAGTATCATCATACTGTCTTGACTGGATATGATTTTAAAGTTCAAGGACATTTTAAATTATTTATCAATTTGCTATAACTATTAATTATATAGCTGCTTAAATTTCATGCTTTGACAAAACATCATTCAGCACAATCTTTCAAATAACATATCTAATATGATATCGATCTTTGAAGAACAATCGCCGAAAATTTCGAAAAGGTCGTGTCTGTTTGAAATGGCTTTGATATTAACAATGGAATATTTTAAAACCTTCATTGATAGTTCTTCTTTGTATTACATATTATCTAATGTCTTTTGATCTTTTTAAAAAAAAATGATATGGCGATAAATAGATTAATTGGGCTAGAGGTATGCATTATCATCATATTAATCAAATAGTTAACTATTGATTGAAATCCCGGGTTAATAATCATGACATTAAATACAAAGGAACGACCAAAATTAAAAAAAAAATAGATCAAACAAAATAGTACGTTAAGCGGACGATATTAGAATAATTTACGTCTTAAACCGTTTCATTTAAAATTAGAAAGTTTATAATTGGATAATTAAGCAAGTATTTTAAATTGTTTTAAGTGTAAATTGCGCTGTTCAAATTAATTTGTGAAAGTGTATAAAGGGGCAATAAAGTAAGTATTTCAGAGTGATTTTTTTTAAAAACCTTTACATCACGTTTAATTTATTTGATCTTACACGGTGGAAAGAAAGGTTATGATTTAAGAATTGTTTATCACCCATTTCATAGTCTTTTCTAAAAGGATCCTTATGGACTCCTAAATGATTCTTCAGATTCAACGTGATAAATATAGTTAATGAATATGAGCCACGCCATGACAAAACCAACATAATGCGTTCGCGACCAGCGTGGTTTCAGACCAGCCTGCGCATCCGCACAGTCTATTCAGGATCCATGCTGTTCGCTTACAAACCCTATTACAAGTACAGAAACTGATAGCGAACAGCATGAAAATCCTGATCAGACTGCGCGGATTCGCAGGCTGGTCTGGATCCATGCTGGTCACAAACGCACTATGTTGCTTTTGTCATGAATCGGCTCATATGTAATTTATAACTATACTTTTCGTTGGTTTTTTACGTCGCAACTACACAATATAGGTCATTTGTGACTTTCAAACTCTACTGGTGCCAATCTGACCATTATTCCGGTCACAAACGGGCACCTGAGCAGAACCATCGACGGTCCGAAACTCAGGTTGAAAGAATATCCGAAGACGCTTACGAATCTTGAAGATTACAGCGGTGAGAGGCAATTGGTTTTTAATGAACGACCTCAATCACTTGGCCTTGAACGTTCCATACTAACTATTGTTTAAATTGATAGATTGTTAGTATATTGGGTACCACACGTGTCTCCTATCTTTTCTGGTTTTTGCGTCATACATTAAAAAATGCGCTTAATTGACTCAGAAATTGAACCTGTAATTTAAAAATCCATATCTCATTTGATATGTTTGTAATTTGATGCCATGTATAAAAGACATACAATAGGTCCTTGATTTAAGTACTTACAGATTTAAGTGTTATATTATTATATTTTGTATGTGAAAAAAATATAGTAAGTAGATTTTATATTCATTTTATTTAATACTTAGTCAGTTATATTGTCATGAAAAAAATGCCAGTAGATTTTTTTTCTGAACATAAGTATGTTGACATATGTATCAACTGTGTTAAGACAATATTTTTTTTAAAAGTATTTCATACTTTTCATTCATAAATTATCATTGGACGAAAAAGGAGGACACATCCTAAATGCATATTAGCTTTTTTTCTTCATCCACAGTTATGTATATTAGAAAAGACATTTTATCATTATCCAGATATACAATATTTATCGAAATCAAAGTAAATAAAAATCGTTTCTATTATCTGATGATAATGATATTTGAAATAAAGCTAAACAGAACAAAAATTAAATGTTTCTGAGTAACAATTTATAACTTTTTTTTACCGCGCACTTCCCTTGCTTTCTAAAGTTAAAAAAACACGTTTGTTTTTGACCAGGGATACTTCTGTATGTGTAACTATCAAAACATCATTTTCTGAACTGTCAAATATGTTTCATGCATCAAATCAGAATCTTTATAAAAAATTTTCAATCATTATAAAATTGACTTTTCAACTTATTTACAAACATCACTGCCTAAACTGAATTTATACAGGTAAGTTTAATGGTATATCAAATTTTTGATTTGCAATATACGTTTTAATAAGTACTTCAACGTAATTGACTCTATACAATTTAAATGATACTGATCATTCGATCTGTCTGATATTTCGGTAACAAGATCCTAATTACACTACACTAATAGGGCAATAAACGCACTTGGTATTGACCGCATTTATTTAATTATTTTAGTTAATAATTAATGCGTATGTACCTTGCTCATAAATATCACAATAATGAATGATATAGTTTATCTTTTTTATTTTTAACATTATAATGAGTGAAATAATTGTATTATCTATACGTATGATACACGTGAATGTGATTTAAAAGTTGCATCATTCAGATTTATAGTTAAATACTAGTATACAACCCTTAATAGTTTACATAATTGAATATTAAATCATATTTGAATAGTAAAAACTCTTGTTTATCTCATATGAAACCGAAATGTTAACTGTTTTTATACAATAGTTTTTCGTATGATATACATATACCATGAAAAAAATTTAAAATAAACCTGTTAAAATAAAATTGAATATTCTTGACATAATGTCAATCGAATTATAAACATAACAAAAATTAATTTAAGTTTAACTTTATATTTCTATTTCTATTAGAATCTATTTTGACAACATAAGATTAACTTGGCCATTACATAGACTAACACAGACTTACAAAAACTTTATATAAATCATATTAAAATAGTTTGAACTAATATAATCATTAACTTAAAGAATAAAAATAAAATGTTTATCATCTTTTATAAATGCTCTCTCATTTGGTATACACATACTATGAAAAAACACGTAAAGAATGCATCTAATATTCTTATAAAGCAATGAATGTTTATAACTCTTTCAGAATTTAAATTGACAAAGAAGATTAACTTGGCAAAAAGATTCGTCTACAAATGATCTGTTGAAGAAATGAAGATTCCGTTAATGAATCACATCTTCCTTGCAACGATTCTTGTTATAAGCTTGAATTTTCAGTCGTGCAACGCCAACCAAGGAAATGTAACGATGCCAGCAACAGGTGGGACATTTTTTCTATAAAATAGTTACATATGTTATTTCATTTAATATAAATAAGTGAATTGTTCCATAATAAAAGGTATGTAAATCGTGGATAGCATTTGGTATAATACGTGACAAACCATGAAAATAACATATAGATGTCGTTGGTAACTGTGAGATGCATGATCATATTTGACATTTCAACATATAGTAGATAATAAATTGTTCTAGAACAAAATATGAGCCGCGTCACGACAAAACCAACATAATGGGTTGCGACCAGCATGGATCCGGACCAGCCTGCGCATCCGCGCATTGAGATCAGGATCCATGCTGTTCGCTATCAGTTTCTCTTCTTGTTATAGGGTTTGTAAGCGAACAGCATGGATCCTGATCAGACTGCGCGGATGCGCAGGCTGGTCTGGATCCATGCTGGTCGTATACTCCTTATGTTCGTTTTGTCGTGACGCGGCTCATATTATTTTTCATCATATAATGAAATAGAAAAAAGCAGAATCCCTTAAGAGACCAACACGGATTCATAATAAATAACTCAAAAGGCTATCAACTTTTTTTTAAGATAGATATTTTATCAAAATGATACATAAAAATGCATTTTTTAATATTTGAAAGAAATACTTATGGAAAATGTGTCCGTTGTGTTGCATAGAATGCTTGTTCATCCATGCCTTTTGGAACTAATTTTCAGTTACGGTGAAAGTCGTAGAAACAGATGCAAGGCAAAGACGATCCATGGACCAATTTCCTGACCAATTAGATGTTGACTTGTCAACAGATGAATTCCATGAACAGTTTCAAAGTCTCGAAAGAAATTATCACGTGCCAGATATTCAGTATGTTCACATGATGGAAAATGGAGCAATTAAAATGTTCAAATTTGAAAGTAAACAGGTAATCCATTATTTTGTTGCAATATCGTCACTTATACGCAACTTTTGTCTAATGTCATTATTTCAAACACGAGGGATATTGCACTAGTATATGTTAAAAATCATCTTCTTGCCATATTTTAAAGACATTTTTTCAAGCATTTGTAAAGTATTTGTTGTACTACGAGTAAGATTATTTTTAATTGCTGTATCAATTATTTCAGAACTCTGCATATTATATTGATGTTGAACATGGTGCTGCTTTTAGAGTTTCTTTGGCCTCAGAAGGATCTAAAGATTTTGATATTGTGAGTATTGCTTATAACCACAACCAAATCACACCACAAAATCAGTGACACGTTTTCTTGCCAACCCTTTCTCTAACATGTACGCATTTGTTTATGGTGGCTGATTTGTAACGCTTTTGCGCGTCGTGTTGGCGCTAGCAAAAACAGGACAAAGCGCCAATCGGCGCGTTGTCGGACTTTCGTCCTGTCGCTTACGATGTACGCCATACGGCGCGTTGTCTTCCGGCGTGTTGTCGTGATGTCACGTCGCTCAGTTCAAATGAAGGATTGGCTTATAAGCCAAGCGACAGGGCAACATCGCAACAATTCACCACGCCGTTTTGCGTGGTTCGCTAAAGACAGGACTACAAGACGACAGTGCGACAACTCGCCGTTTGGTGCTTTGTCTTTTTGTCGCTTGCGACAAGACGTAAATGCGATAACGATAGAGGTTGCGTTGTCGCTACCCATAACGTTACGTGTAATGTACCAAATCGGCCGCAATATTTTATTTATGTGAAAACTAAAAACTGTTGTTTAAGGTCATTCAGGCCAGGCCATCTGTATGCCCACTTGGTTTATTTTTGGGCTTCGTTCTGTGATTAATTTTTGACTCGTAATTTATATAGGGTTCTACAACTGCAAGCATTGCATTATAAGAGACATAAGACCATAATGAGGTATATATTATGACATTAACATTTTGGATTTAACTGCTTGCTATGGTTGCCATTCAACGTTTTCCTTTTCAAAATTAGAGTCTTCCCACGCTGATGATCGACTGTTTCGTTATGTTATTTGTTTTTATAAAAATGGTATTTTACTAAGCAAAACGGATAAGATTGTTTTTTTTAAGAGAATATGCATCAAGAAATTTGTGTGAAGATTTATTTGTTTATTGTATACCTATATATTTTCTCCCTAAAATACACGCAAATATTGAAACGCAAATACGCTTCAACGGATAGAAATTTCCGTATTATGTTAGTGACAAATACGGTACCATATATGGAAGTGCCGGACTATTTTTGACGTTGGTTCCGATCTTAGCTTTGTATAACGTTGCATTCGGAAACGGGAACCAACATTATTAAAGGCGTGGCCGGTTTGCAAGAATTACGTATTCATCCGTCAATCATGAATTTATTTCTTGACAACTACATTTAATTTTCTGAATAAAACTAACAAGTATATAATAAAAGGAAAATTATGTTGTAGTAGCTTTCTGAGACTATGTATTTTTCTACTCGCAACGTTGGAAAATTGATATCTTGCTCGACCTTCGGTCTCGCGAGATATCAATTTTCCACCGCTGCTCGTAGAAAAATACAAAGCCTTAGAAAGCTTCTACAACATAATATTCCGTATATATTTATAATTTATATAAAATATCAACTACAACAAGGTATAAACTCCTTTGCAATATCATGCAAATACAATGTATTTTCAAATTTCAACTCCGCATTGGTTTTCCACTTTTCCACAAAAGAATCAATTTTTTTGCAAGTTTTATAATGAGAAGGGCAACATTGTTTGTTTGGTTGTAACGGTATATTCATTCTGGTCAAAAGACAAATTTATTACAGTGATTACCGTTTTTCTAGTACGGAACGTTCGTATCCGGACAACATGAATATTTGGTACAACCAACGAGAGATAACCGAAGTACTTACACAGTATTGCTGATTGAAGAAAAGCTGACAACATCGTTTGATTATATTAGTTTGTCAGACACAGGTAAAATTTTAGTTTTATAACTCAGTCTTTAGTAGGTTTATTCATGTAAATAAATGCCTCAGATTAAGTTCATATATCCAGTACTTATTTAAGTCAAGGTTTGCTGTTAACTATTTATCGTCTGATCTTTTTTATGACTGCAAATTAAGGCGAGACAGTAAATATTTTTCACCTTTAAGTCGATTAAATCCATTTTGTATGCAAAGACTTTAAACAAGAAAAAATGAGACTGATCTGGTCAAGTGATACAAGTGTATGATATTTAAACATTCTGATTGCTCTTGCTTACAAAAAAATGAAACTAATTTTATTTCAGTAAATCAATAAAAGTAAAGTCTTCCTTGAAGCCACAATGTGACCTTATATTTCTGTTCTGTAAATAAGCAAATGTATTACTATATGGTAATAACTTTATAACTGATAGTCATCTTGTACAGGCAACTAATAGTTAAAACATTTTGTCAGATGCCAACATAATTGAAGAGAAGATGCAGAATCATCAGAGAAGACTATGACCGGAAAAGAAAAGCGACAGACGACCGACTACGAGGTCGAAATTTTCTTCGTGCATGACTTTGCAATGTACAATAGGTATGTTAAAAACATACACTTATTTTCCTTAATGCTGTATTCCTCTAGATAAGCCATAATATTCAAGGAAATCATACTTGAGAAAATTGTCCTTATATCGTGAATGTAAAAGGTCTCAAGATTCAAGTAATGTCTTACATATTATGCGTTATATATTCGGACTGATTTTGCAGTTATCATCATCATATTTTTACTGCGTCATTAAGACAGTAAGGGCTAATTTTGCATATTTCACCTCTTTTTTTGGTAATTAACGTGGACTATAAGTGCCGTTTGCAATGTGAATTAAATAACTTTCTTTCTACATTTTGCAATATTTTACTTTTAAATAAATGTTGAAAATGTTTATGAAAATCAGCATGAATCTGGAGACTAGTCTTTGCCACATCTTTTTTTTGCAAAGCCATGCTATAATGGATAGTTTAATTTCATTTATATCTTATGTTTTAGTTCAGTAAGGCATTATTTTTTCTTTTCTTATTTTCTGCATTACAATCAATTTGTTTTTAAGTTTAAGTAAGCAATATTCAGGATCAATTTAAATTTCAGTAAGCTCGGTAAATTCAATGAAAGATGAGAGGTTTTCTGTTTATGGATTGCGGGTTTCAATGATTTGCGTACAGACAAAATATATATCTATACATATCGATCATGCTAAATAACATATATATGACAAAAAGCGTTCAAAGTTATTTGCAAAATTGTATTAAGGAACTGTACAATATTTCTTAAATATTTGTCAATTTTCGTCCAAATTAACATACCCTTTTCAATTAAAGTCTTGATTAAAATAATTATAAAGAAACGCGTAGGATGATGCGATTGTTTTCTCTGAATTTTTAGATTATTCTATTTTCAGTTGGTATGCTACTACTGAAGGAGAAAACGACAGACACAGTGCTACAGTTACTAAAATGATACAATTCACCGCTTTTCTGCTAAACGCGGTAATATGATGTGGTCTTCAATTGTATTATTCATCTCTGGCTAAAAGACTTTAATCATTAGGCATATCTATACTGAATGAAAAGCGCGCCAAATAATAATACAACGTGACGTCATTTACGACGTCACGTCATTAAGTTGGTACCCAGTACTGTGCACGCTGGTATTTCACTGAAACAACATAAGGGGCTTAAATTCAAAACAGTGAAATTACCAAAGTGGTAATTTCTTGGTTTCAATCAGTGAAATTACCAGTTTTATATCACTGATAAATTTCTATAAACAACCGAAAAGCATGTAATAAGATGTGGTCTTCGATTGTATTATTCATTTCTGGCTAAAAGACTTTAATCATTAGGCATATCTTATCATTTTCATCGTCTTTTTCTTCATCGTATTAGTTACATGTAATATTACGAAAGCCTAACAGTGTCAAATGAAATAAAAAATATAAATGCAAAGGCGTTATAAAGCGAATAAAGGCGTTATTACGCGAATCAAAAGGCGTAATAACGCAAATAAAGGCGTTATAACGCGAATTAAAGGCTTAATTACGCAAATCAAATAGCGTAATAACGCGAAAAAAAAGCGTTGCAGCGCAAATAAAAGCGAAGTAACGCAAATAAAGGCGTTATAACGCGAATCAAAAGGCGTAATAACGCGAATAAAGGCGTAATAACGCGAATCAAAAGGCGTAATAAAGCGAATAAAGGCGTTATAACGCGAATCAAAAGACGTAATAAAGCCTTTATTTGCGTTATAACGCGAAACAAAAGGCGTAATAACGCAAATCAAAAGGCGTATGAATTATTGATAGGTATGATTAGAGGGGTAAAAGTGTTTCTGTTAAGTTACAATTATAGGAGACAGTGTCTTCTTTGTCTTTATCGAAAAGAATCCATAGTTGGGTGATAGTAACCTCTAATCTCACGAAAGCATTTCCTAATAAAAGATTTAAAAAATCAGACTCTGGCCTTAGGACGTATCCGTACTGAATTGAAAATAAAACGTACTTCTTGATCAATTCATTTAAATCAACATTGTTCTTCCTATCTTACATCACAAGGCCACGGTTTGGAATTTATATGGTATTAACTGAAACACTATTCCCCATTTAAGCATACCTATCAATAATCACCCTAATGTGACTAACTTATACCTTACATTTTCCCAAATTTTGTTACCTATAGCCAATTACCTTTATAGCTTTATTAGGAATGGCATTCACATAATTAGAAGATACTAGAGGTTATAAGGTAATCAAACAGGATATATCCGAAGATAAATAAACATATGACGCACATATAAGATAAGATAAGATATAAGATAAGATAAGAAAAGAAATTCATTTACTATAGTGACATGTGTAAAATCAATGATGTGATACATGTGAATTCAGAGTAACTGTATTTACGTCCAGTCCATAGGACCTATAAGGCACCAAGTCACTTTATATTGGCAAATATTAAAGAGTCTTCATGAGTTTATGACAATTAGTTTGCATTATTACTGCGCAAATGGAATGCTAGTTATTGTAAATGTATATTATATTATTCTATACGAGTTAATATCTTGAGCAATAAATTCAGATCAATATTGGTCTTTTGCATTATTATTATGTAATTGAAAAGTCTTAGACATGCAGATCATCTCGCGCACTTTATATATAAAGCTGTAGACGATTCAATATATTTCAAGAAAACAAAGGTTGAGAAAAATTTATTGAATGCGAGTATGTGAAAAAGTTAACCAAATAATACATACCCAGTTGAAAAAAAACAACAACAACAAACAAAACGGAACGGGAACGAGACTATTTCGGAAGCTGGGATCTTTTAATATCGTTATTCTATGGCCGATTTTTGGTTCCATTCTTAACTGTTTTGCGTGCCTCAAGAACGGCGAAGAAAATTTAACTAAGATTTTAGAAAAAGTAAAATGAATAATATATTTACATGTTATGTGTGATTAATGACTGATTTTGCAGTATTTATCAAAATAGTTCTATTACGAGACAAACGCATCAATGTCTATGACCTGTTTTAAGTTAATTACGTGGATGGTAAGTGTAAACTAGGTATTGTCGTGTGCTAATTGTTCACATTAAGTTGACCGATATTGTTTCCATCTACCTGATTCGGAGACGAGACCACCTTAAATATGGACATTAAGCAATATTACATGTTTCAGATTGATCTACGATATCAAACTGTGACAGACTACTCGTATACAATATCCTGTCTTTTTGCTGGAATTTACATAGCTGATGTAAGTATCAACAAGGAACTAGCCAATTAAACTCAACATTTTGTGTCCATCGTTCAATAAATAACGACAGACTACAAACTGAATCAGCTCATACCAATATAAGGACGACTAAGACTTGAAGGATATGAATCATATTGTCTAAGTAACCAAGAATCTTTATTGCTCTCTACTCAAATGAAATGAACTGTAAAAATTTAAAAAACACAAGTCAATATAAATTTCCAATTTAATTACAATATTATATTTTCAAAATCATTTGCAATGTATCCATGTTGTGACACATAAATAAAAATCGTATTCCTTAAGAGTACGATGCTTTTAATGTTATAACACAACTGTCTGTAACGACGCCTTGGATTAAATCATGTCCGAATTTGTAATGCATATTTCCACATTTCTGTATCTGAGATATAATATCATCAGGTTTCAAGCGATGCACCTTTTGTAGAAGACCATGTCTCCAATAACCAAGCTGTAGCTGAAACTGTTCTTAGCGCTTTTAAGGAATGGGGAGAGGATTCATTGGGAGATTTTAATTTTGATCATGCTATGTTGTTTACAGGGTAAGAAAGGGTTTCTTACTTTTATGTCTTATATATACAATTTCATAATTATGATATGACTTTAAGAAACAGTCATGTGGTTTTGCTTAATGGCCACTAAAGATAAACTAGGGAGAGCAATGCAGCTCCCATGTCACTCTGAAACAACAGCACCAAAATTGTCATCGGGTAGGCAGAGGCAGACAAACGATGAGTTCGAAGGTCGTAATTATCATTTGTAAACTAGGGATACATTAAGTTTAGTTAGGAGTGACGGAATTTGAAAATAAAATTGGATACAGAAAATCTTGAAAGGGACATGGAGAAAGGGGGGCAACATTGGAAAGGAAATAGGACAAATTATTACTGAAATGGCAGAACACATTTGACGAAAATATATATTAAAGAAAAACTAAGACAGATAGATAAATACTTTTTTTTAAACTATCTTAATTTTGCTGTCTTATTCTAAATTTGATGGTGATAAGAAAGACAAAACCGCAAACTCATTTACGTAATAAGTAATTGAACAAGCCTTGTTTAAGAAATTTGAGCCTTATTAAAGGAGTTTGTAGGTAATGTAAAGGTCAAATTCATTTATTTGGATGTGCTTGTATTGACTTTATGTATGCATGAATGACTCGTACTGTTTCAATAAAAATGTCAAGTAAGATGTATGCCATTTAGCTTGTAGTCAATATGTACTAAATAAAAAAGTTATGGACAAATAGTTTCGAATATAAAATTCTACCATTTAATGCCAATTGTTGCGTACACTGTAGCTTGCGTGAAGTCCATGACCTATTACACAAATATTGTTCCTAAAAAAGGTCAAATTATCGGAAAATAATTACTTTGTATTTGTTTATCACATTAGTTCCATATTTAATAAATTTATAGTTAAAAATATAATCAAATGCAAATTAAGGTTAATGCGTGACACTTGACTTGAAACAAGCGGATGCCAAACTTGATTTTCAAATGGTAATGATGTTCTGATTCAGAATTGGAATGAAGCGGTGTCGTTTGATTTTTAAAAGATTATTGAAATCTTATTTTTCTAGCGGTTTTTGTAAGGCATTTCAATGATTTGAGGTTTATGAAAAGTAGTGACTGAAATTTCTTGGGGGGGGGGGAGTACGGTAACTTGCACCTTCCAGTACTGTCCATGAACAGACTTTATCGAGCCTTTTAGGCGTTCTTTTTCTCTATTCTATAAGAATCTTATCAGCACATTACCGAAAGCGAGTCACACTTAGTTAAAAACTTACAAATCATTGAAAAAAAACCGTTTTCCAGAATTTTGATAATTTCGTGTCCATGAAGGTTATTTTCTGCATGGCAAATGTCGAAATAATTTGAAAACGGGAGAAATAAAATACACTTTATATATCAAATCAACTGACATTTTTTACGTTTTAATGAGTTTTTTTTATGTCAAAACAAAAATCACAATATTTATAGAAAATATGTTATTTGAAACAAATGTGCTCGCGTTTGTGTCTTCACACTCACCTATTTGATGAGAAGTAAACAAATTCTTGTTCATACCATGTTTTGTGATATTTTGTTTACTTTATCGTATAGGTACGATATTGGAGAAACAATTGATGGCGTATTTATTTCTGACATAGCAGGTATAAACATTATTGATACATAGTGATTTTTGTTTTATTTCAACTAATCTATTCATTTTTGTGTTTCTCAACACAACTATTTGACTTCTATGAAACTATCTTTCAAGATAACTCACGTCCTGTTGATATCAATATACGGATTGTTTTATTATTAAATGTTTTCAACTGCTTACGCCAGTGCTGTTGTGTTTGTAGTAGTATTCATTTACTATTTCCTGAACAGGCTGGCTTAATAAACATAAAATACAGTCTGTAACTGTTTTAATGCAATGTCATGTTGTTATGTTGTGTTGCTCTTTAAGGTTTCCATTTTTCTATTTCATAACTAAAGATATTTGCATATCTTTTCTAAAGGTCTTGCGTATTTACCGTCGTATAATACAAACGGTGAACTGTTTAATGCCGCAGTTTGTGGAACGTTGAGATATTCTATCAACGAAGGAGGGAATTTCGAACCGACAATGGCAACGATTGGCGCACATGAGCTTGGACATAAGTAAGTGAAATAATATTGTTAATTACTTGTTTTTCATGTTAGTGTTTGGTTGATAGTGATAAGTTAAAAAATAATGTCGGAGTCAAGTGATGCATTAACTCTAATGCAGCATTCTCTGGTAATTTTCAAATTGTTTATTACTTTGAAATGTACCACCTTAAAAAAAATAAATAAATAAAAAAAATAACAAAAAAAAAAAAAACCAACAAAAATACAACAACAACAAACAGGCAAACAAACAAAACTGTGAAACTGAGAGATCAAGATTAGCAAGTGTTCATTAGGCGTTTATTGAGCGCCGCTTCTCCTTGCTGAACTTTATTTTGATAATTCATTAAATGATCAGCTGCATACTATATTTCATTGTTTTATAGTTTTATCATTAATCCTTTCCGTGTTCTATTTCAGCCTCGGATCATCACATGATGGTAGTTCCAATAACTGTTCTGGCGGATATGTCATGGAGCCGTCTCTTGAGGTTAGTCGTAATGCATCCGAAAACCTAGAACTATGGCAGTTCTCCTCTTGTTCACAGACATATTTTGATACTTATATCACGGATTTAAATGATGCGTAAGTTTAAAGTTTTAATTAGTTGTGAATTTGATTTATTTTCCACGCTCTTAACATAACATTGTCTCTTACAGATTTTTAGTACAGAAAATAAATAGGAAAATGTATAATTGTACAAACGAGTCGGATTGCATCAAGGTATCTTGTTTGTATTTAAACTTGATTTTGAAGACTGTATTGATTTATCATCTGTACAAAGGGTTATTTAGATGTTATTGACACATGCAGGCTTTTTGAATAGTAGATGCTTTTGAAACATATTGATCAAAAGAGCATACCAAATATGTGATGTGAAAACGACATATTTACTGAAATACACGATCGGAAATATACACTGAACAAATTTTATTAGTGTGTATGTATAAATAGCCTCATTTGTGTGTCAATTTTGGTATGAACGTGCTAAAACTTTCGATAAATACAGTTGAGAGACATGATATGATATTTCATTGATTAAATATCATAGGAAGCAAAAATTTAAGTAACATGCCCAAAAATTGTCATAGTGCGTTAAAGCCAAAGAGGGAAAACACATGTACCATTAAAAGCTTTTACCTATGCCCACCCAGACTGTTGAATTCAATCTGGCAGCGTTGTCGCATGGATATGACCCATCTTTTTCATAATATTAGAGTAAATATATTCACTTTTGGACAATTTTTGCATGCATATTCCTAGGCGATGGTCAGTGTCATTGTACTAACACTTCCTATTAGGAGGACCATTTCACCCCATATGGCTTCGATTATATTTCCGTTTAGCTTCTACAACAATTAAGTCTAGAGATTTTGGTGATATTCTATTACGTTGATCAGTTGTTTATTAAATATTTAAAAAAAGATTGTTGGCGCTATGGGCGTGTGCTTGTAAGCCATTCTGCAGAAACTACAATCATATAATGTTCTAACACATTGATGAAACCGAAGTTTGAACCTCAACGTATGAGTTATGATCTGCTTTGAGATAACCATTAATGAGCACATTTAAGACTAAAATCTATCCTAAAATAAATTGTCCAACAATAGATCAAAATTGTTGGTATCAAAGCTAAAGTACGCATACGTTGATTTACAATAGAGATCACAGGTGTAATAATTTTGCCACATATACTTTTCACGCACAATCACATTTATTAGGCATATGTGTTTAGTTTGTAAAAATTGGAATATCATACCATGTTTCTAAACAGTTTATATCAAAAATTAAAAGTAGATAAGGTCATTAGTGACTCACATTTTAAGATATTTATACATGCACACTTATAAGATTTGTTAAGTGTACAATATCACTTAGATAATCTTATATTTAGCAAAACATATTTAAGAGTGGACGATAAAATTACAAAGAAAAACACGGAAATACCTATAACCACCACTTCGGATAAAGGAAAGACAGCTGTGTTACGCGTAGGAAATGTTTAAACTATAAGTCCAGTCAAATGTTTATACATTAACAGTCAAATGTATTAAATGGATATATATTTCTAAATTTGTTGTCCACCTTAGATCCTTAAACTGTATGACAGTAAGAACAGCAATAAACAATGATGACCTTGACCCTTATGTAAATGATCTGGCGGGTCAGCTTTACAGTCCTGACATCCAATGTGAGCGGATAAGAGGATCAGGATCGTTTCTGTACAGGGTAAGGATAATGTCTGAAATTACAATATTTTATTGAAGATATAGGGTATAATGTTTGCAGACGTCATTCGATCCGATCGTTTGACCTCTTCGTTTCCGATCGGTAACTACAATAATTTGACCATTTGCCTTCAAACTGCTAGGATAATTAACCAAATTAAGTAGAAAATACCTAATATTTAGGAGGGGTAGATGCAAAAACGTCGAATGCACAGTTATCTTGAATGTGAAAATCGCTTCCGCTAAATAACAAGTGAACCATTTAAAACATAGCCTCTAATCTCCAATAAACAAGATTTCTGAACGTTGACGTCAACAGGTCAAGGTTTTTTGAATGTGTCATTTAATATGAAAACCATTCAATAGGAAGTTATGTAAACCACAGCCTTCAAACTTTAAAAGATGTTAAAACTCATTAAATACAATAGCAATGTTTGCTCTAAGCTGCTTAAAGATAAGGGAAAATAATTCCCAACCGTGAATCGTTCCCGTTCAGAAATAGAGAAAAATGAGACACAAAGCCTTCAAATTTTGTAGGATGATTATCCCCTATAAATTAAAACCTATTATCTTTTTGCTCGACTTTTGGTCAGGGTTACATTCAACTCGAATTCTAGAAACTGGAAATACCATTTTCGCTAAAAAATAGAGAACTATATGATCAATAACCTTTAAACTTACTTCACAGGATGCTAACCCTCACTGAATAGGAAACCTCTTCATTTTTTAGCTTAGCTTCTTAATGCAAAGTCACAATGACATTGAAGGTTTGGTTTAAATCGTTTTCGCTACATCATTAGATAGACTTTTTACAGATTTTAAACTATTACAAACCTCACTTAATTCATGTCCTATATTTGACAATCAGGATAACCAAATATCAAGACCAAATTAACCCTATTACAAGAACCGTTTAAACAAACAAACACACAAATAAACAAGAGAAAGCATTTACACCAAATTATGACAAGAAACTATTTCGACAATTGTTCTTAAATATTTATTAGGTAAGCAACCTCGATTATATAAGGAAAATACATCATCTGCAGTTTATTTGTACAACTTAAGGTCAATAGAAACACCTGAACCATTTTTTAAAAACTTTTTGGGGGATTTTTTGTGTTTGGTTTAGACATTTTGATTATGTACGAGTTTTTTTAGACATTTTGGTTATGGAAAGTCATAATCAGTGTAAAAACGTAATAAATTTCCCTTAAATTGTTTTATATTCCTACTAAATTGGTCATGATATATTGACAATAAAATTGAATTATCAAATATTTTATTGCACATGACGTTATCTATGTATCAGACACAATTTTGTTCATACTTTAGTCCAAATACGATGGTAATTATTCGACAATATGTCAGTCAATGGCATGTGCCTCAACAACCACTTCCGGTAGTTTCTACTACTACATTCCATGGGAAGGTACAACTTGTGGAAATGGCAAGGTACGATTTATTTCATTTATCAAAAATAACATTTGATAAGATAAATATGCTATTAAAGATACCTTCTTTTGGATAAAAAATGCTTAATCTATAATCATAACTATGCCATAAAAAGTTATCAACATATAAAAATAAAAATAATTGCATCACAAAGAAATATATTGACTCTGTACATTTATCCTTAGATGTGTCAATCAGGGCATTGCGTCGAATCTCCCTTAGCACCTCCAGTCGACAATGGTAAGTGAAACTTCAATGTCAAATATTGTAAAGGAATGATCTGTACCCGATTACTTATACATGTGTTTACTAAACATCTAAACAGTTTTGTTCACTTTACCAGGTCGTAAAAATACATGCTGATTAATATGTTGACGTTTAGTTCTGTCAGGTTAAGCATCAGAAAATAATGGGCTGGTATTTAATAGCATACGTAAGTCATTTGTTGACTGATAACAACTGCGGAACACCAGCGAAATGTTTTGCATTTTTTTTTAATTTATCACTTTCATCAGAACCTTGAATTAGCAAATGAATCATAAAATGTACCCAAAGGCGTTATGTAATACATAAATTAATACTATTTAAAATATTGGATTTTTAAATGGATGACACTGAATACGAAACTGACTACTATTTTTGTGGTAGAGGTCATTTGAAAAAAGCGCTGTCAAAACAATATGCCATTGAAGGTCAACATAAGTAAAACTTAGTTTTGCCATGTAAAAACATATACACAAGAAAGAGAACCAGATGAAACGGTATAAATACTTTACTCTTGAACTTTTGAGCCAAGTTTTACAATGAAACGAAATTGCTGTTATGAATTTTCGATCACATTTCTTTGTAAACATGTCAAACTTAGCATTTACAATGCAGAACTACTTAGCGCATTGATATGGAATAGAAAAGCTAAATATTTTATTTTACTAGAAAGTGGTCTTATTATTTAAAGGTATCTCAGATAATTTTTGCATAATTTTTCTTTCTTAATTGAGATTTCTTTTTAAAAATAATTTAAAACTTTTGCTCGAACTTTTGATTATGCCTATCCATTGTGGAAGTCGGATGTAACGTTGCATTTTGATTGGCTGGATAATTTATAAACATAGCTATCATCGTCATGTTCTAATATAACTGTTTTTCTTTTCAAAACAATCATTGTCAGTTTCAATTTTAGGGAAATTGCACACTTGCACCATGTGACTTCCTATAAGAAATGAAATACCAAAGAGAATTTACAACTATCATAATTATTTGAACACACAGTATAAATATCTAGTGTGAAAACAAGCCTTTGCGTCACTTCCTTTCAAACAGAGCAGAATTCTAATCTTATTAGATCTACTTACTCTATAATTATCTGGACATGACTACATTAATTTAGCCAGTTTTACAATACGTTATAAAATTATTAAAATTATCAACATATAAAACAGAAACTGAGATAGGGATTCATTTATACCATACCAATTTATAAAGCCACTAAGAAGTTAAGCTAGTACTATTCTAGTTCCCATCTACAAATTTTCACTATAATAATTGAATGGTGATTTGTTTGAATGGTGGTTGAAGCTTGTTACTTATTCGCGACGTTAGACGTTTTGGTCAATCTGTTTATGTGCGATAATGACATTTGCACGCGAATAAATGATACTGAATGATTGGGAAAAAAACATATTAACACTACAATGAACAATGATGAAAAATTTAACAATGTTTTATTTGTTATAGTGAAATGAAACTTCCAAACTTCTTTTTTTTCAAAAAAAAATATCAAGATAAGAATAAATAAATAAGAGTCCTAAGTCAAAAGCCTGAAAATGAGATGACAATGAGAAATGGAAATTGAACTCTTTTTTCGGCCTTAGTTCGATTCTCGGTTTGTGACCGGCTTTAGTTTGGTACTTTCTTTGTGAACGGTCGTAATGGCTAGGATATGTCCGCGGTTGCATTTTGTGAACGTTGGATTGCCTTATTGATTTTTGTTCTAACATATGTCCTTTAAAGTGAAGTAGGTAGCATCTTTTTGACAAGCGTACATGAATATCTCAAACGTTTGACTTAAAACTATTTGTTGAACAGAAACGTGTCTTTTCGGAGATGTTCCTTACAACATGCCGTTCCAGACATCTGGTTGTTATGATTTTCTTGGAACTCGTGAAACATCTTACAATTGTTACCATGAAACGTACAGGCTACACTGTTGTGAAACTTGTGAAGCTATAAGGCAAAATAACACGGCGTATGTAGGTATGTTTTTGCTATGATTGCCTCGATGTTTACCACAGTTTTTCGCAGCATATTATGTTGCCATTTGGCACTTGTGTTTTTGTAATGCTCTAATCATTGTCAGGGTACACTTTTACCATATTTTGCATTGTTTAAGAATGTGATGGCTTTATTTGATTGGTTACCTTAATACATTTTTCATTTTCACATGACCCGTTTTGATTATGTGTAAGAGAAATGCAATACTCTGACATGGTTTGTGAAAGGAAAAGTGGCATACATGACAACATACATTTAACGGACTCAGATCACCAATGACATTCGAACGTTTGTCTATACATCAAAACATTGGTAAAAACTAACCAATGGATAGCTTGTTCATTGGTTAAATCCTTAACAGCGGCCATCCAGTGGATAAAATTTAATTGTTCGACAGTTGCTACCTAACCAGTGGATTGCGTACCACAGGTCCACTGGCTAAGTATCACAATTCAATCGGTGGTTCTGGAAATAAAATGGCCGATTTATTGATGAATAACAAATTTCAAACAATCAGGAAGCTCCCCAAGAATTAATTTTGCATGTTTTGTAAGGACTGTTTAACTGAATTTTCTGAACTACAACAACAACAAATGAGATTAGAAAATGGTCCTTGAAGCACTTTTTAAAAATGTTTCAATTAATTTTAATCATATGCATTTAATATGAAATGTTCTGGTTAAGAAAAAAATATATTTGTAAGAAAGATATGGTTTCAAACAAGTTTGAATGATTTTTACTGTTTTAATGATGATAGCTAACCACTTGTTAAGGACGTTATCCGGTGGTTATAGCACTGGTTAAAGTGCATTTTATCCGTTAGATAACTTTTGAACAACAGAATTTATCCAACCGACAATTTTTAGCCAGTCGATATAATTTTATCCCTTGGTGGTTATCATTAACCAATGTATTGAACAACAGGGTCCATATGTAAAACCTAGAGATTCAGTGTGCAGCTTTATGATTAAATGTCCCATAGATCTCTTTTGTAGTAGGATAAAGGGCACGTGGAGCTTAAAGATTCTACTCCGATAGATTGTCCAGCATTGACTAAAAGTAAATATAAATTCAACAAAATTCTCGTATGTGATAAGGGAAATTGTAACCTCCTTATGTATAATGTTTTGTTTACAACTCATGAGACCTTTATCCATCCACTTTGAGTTCATTTATACAATTCATATCCGTAACATTTTGACAAACACATGGTAATATATTTCTTTGTTTTTAGATTGTGAATATGGAGATAAAGGTACTGGCTGTTCAGAAATTTCATTATATAGTTGCCGGTCTAAAAGTGAACTATGCTGTCGAAGATGCCAAGATATACAATTAAATATTCCAGGTAAAACAAAATTTCTGAAATTCCAGTTTTAAACTTAGGTTTAAAGGCCAAAAAGCCTTTAAGATGCTTTAATTTTCCAAGGAATTTTTTTTTTTAAATTGCACATACAGTCGTTCATGTAATTAATTGTTTAACTTTATTTATGGTATCAACAAAGTGGTGTTTGTTTTTTTGAAAGAGGTCCTTCCAGATTTACACATAATTTGAGATGAATGGCAGCTAGACGCTGATGAGAACACGATCAGTGGTTAACCTCGATACATATCGTTTTCTTTAAGCACGAAGTATTTCAAATAAATAACATCTGTATTTTATCGTTTTCAATTTATTTTTACTCTTCTCTTTTTAGCACGAAGTATTTCAAATAAATAACATCTGTATTCTATTATGGTTTTAGTTTTATACCTATTAAACGGTTTCTTAAGGTCGTCGTGTATTAATGTTTTGCCACACCTCAGATATATGCAATAAACTATTAGATATTTAGTTTTAACATTTCTAATTTAAAAAAAATGATATAATTTATGTTTTGTTCTTTCCATTACAGTCTGTAAATGCTTCACAATTAATTGAAAGAATTAAGCATTCAAAAAACCATTTTTGTGAACAAATAATCTTACATGTTTTACCATAAGAAATAATCCATTTATATTTGTATCCCCTTAAAAGTAGTGTGAATATAAATAAAAGTTACGGAACAGAACAATTTCTTATATTGTTTTCGGACTTGAGTATAGCTCTTCGTCCACGAAAATAATGATTACAATACATAATGAAAACGCAAAGTAAGATCTTACAATGTACAATAATGTAGAGAGAAACAAAATTAAGAGACACATCATACCAGTATTTATCATGTATATCACAAAGTAATTGTTATATTAGAGAGCAATCTAGTAACACATAACATTAGCAATGAAATGTAAACTAGTCTTACTGAAAACTGCTACTTGTTTAAAAAGTATTAAAGATAATCAACATGTTATGTTTTGTTGAGTCTATTGCTAAGTTATAAGTGTATCAAACATTTCAGGTTGTCCTTGGGGTGATTTCTATTCTAACTGTGCGGAGTTACCTTGCAGCACTTACTCTGAAGAATGTTGTCAAACTTGTGCATCTTCTACCACCTTATCCATAACAGTTACTCCTTCGACAACGACAGATACAATCACAACCACGACCAATGCACCTTCAGCAACAATTTCACCATCAACAACAACGACTATTACTTCTACCACAACGACTAGTGCACCTTTAACGACAGCTACTTCTACGACATCGATTAGTACACCTTTAACAACAGCTGCTACTTCTACCACAGCGACTAGTACACCTTTAATGACAGCCGCTATTTCTACCACATTAACAGATTCTTCTACAGTAACGGCAACTCTTAATCCTACAACGACCATAACACTTTCCTTAACAACTGCTGATACTACTTCAACGACCATTACTCCTACCGCAACAACTTCTTCATCCACTACCCCTGTTTCACCAACACCCACTACCACCTCTTCCCCAATGGAAGCTATATCAAGCCGAGTGCAAGTTAGCCCTACGTTGTTGTTTTCTTTGTTTTTATACCAATTTAACAAGTTGTTCGGTTAATATGTTGATACATTTTTTAATTGTGCTAGGATAAAATTATGCATAACGTTAAACCGTTGCAGAAATTTACATCGTACACCATGCCGATACTTAAAATTTATTTCAAATTTTTTTTGTTACTTATTTTTCACTCGTCTTGCAATGTTTTAAACAGTTTTATCGAAAGCATAATTTGTTAAGCTTCAATGAGTAAACATACTACATTTGTTTAAAAAAAGAGATATAACTCGAAGAAAATTTAGAATATTTCACTTAATCAACGATAGAATACATTTATTTTGCAGAGAATTTTAGCAAATTTTGCACAAAGTAATATATACAAATTTAATATCAAATGTGGTGTTGCTTGCCACAGTTTTGAGTTATTTGCCAATAAATGAATGAAAAAGTAGGATGGTGAACTCCATTGTTTCTATCAATTTGTTTCAATTAAATCCCTTTTATCATGGAACGTTTAAGAAAATTCTCTGCTCTACTTTGAATATATATAATTTGCCTTAAGTTTGTAAAATAGTTAAATTTCCAATAAGGGACATTCTAACCTAAATGTAATGAAAACAAAACAAAACATTAGAAAATAATGTTTGATTTGGTTGTAAGATGAGAAGCAGTGAAATGTGCAACCCAATACCCGCTAGCACCCCTTCAGAATTTTTCAACCGTAATCAAATCGAGCCTTTATTTAAAAGTCGTTTGCATTGTTGTTAATGATGTTTTGGGTCCACCAAACCAAAACGTCATGTGAAGGACATTTATATCAGATTTCTGCTAGATTACATTATTACATAGCAAATTCAGTAATTAATAACTTTAGCGAATCTGCCAGTCATTCGCCGATAAAAGAAGTACATATCGGCAGCAAGATAATTTTATTTTAAAATTGCATGTCAATTAAATATATTTCTGGATGTGTGTCTTTGTTTCTTTAAGTACACATGGTTAAAATGAACTGTATTTTGATTAGTTCAAATTATTATCTTTTTTAAATTCAATTAACTTATTAAAGAAAAGTTATTATCAAAACGATATTTTCATCATTATTAGTTGTATCCCATAAAGATTATAAAGCTAAATAAAGCTGTATAATGAAACATATTTTATAAAAAATTATAAACAGTAAAATAATACTTGTTTCCATAATCATAATGGTGGATTCTCGAAAATGATTTTAATGTAGAATGTCCCTGTTATTTGACACACAAAAATACTGTAAGTAAACAGAATAAAATATTGCCGAACAAAATATTTTGCTATTTTAAGTAGGATTTTATCCCTTTAGCAATGGTTTCGTACATGCGTCAATCGCTTTTAAGGTAATTTACTACCATGTCTATTTCATACAATCATTTTAAAATTTAAAGACAATTTTTGCAGCAAATATCCATGTATAGCTTGACTATTATATTGTATTCCTCTTATGATCTGTGAAACTAGTACTCTATTATTTGTAGTCATAAATGAAAAGACAGGGTTTGAATTTTAAAACGTACTGAGAGTAATGTTGTATTATGTTCGTGAAGTTAGCCAGACAGCCGGAGCAGCCGGAACAGCCGGAACAAAATGTTGTCTCGCCCGGCTGTTCCGGCTACTCCGGCTAGCCGGAATTCGGTTCCGGCTGAAGCGGCTAGCCAGAGAATATACAGTAAAACCTGTGCAATAGACAATTGGTTAATTCCATAATGTAGTTTCAAATTACTTATCACCTCGATCTCTGGCTATTCCGGCTGGCCAGAATAACCAAAATGAAGGCTATTTAAGATGAAAAAATAATCCAGGAACAAATTTTTGAATATTTGTGTCGTGCAAAGAGTGACAGTGGGTCCGCTGGCAAAGGTGTGTCCGTCGGGAATGCTGTAGCATTTTGCCGACGTGGAGCCGAAGATCGTGCTTTAAATGGTCTGTGAGGCTGAGCCTCAATTGCACAGAACCCCATATGGTGGGATGGTTAGGGTCTGACCGTGTGTCCGCTGGCATAAGTGTGTCCGTCGAGAATACTTTGGTATTTTGCCGACGTTGAGCCGAAAATCCTACTATACATGGTCATTTCAACTCATACCAGGGCATTTTCGGCTGACTCCTGTGAGGCCCAGCCTCAATTGCACAGAACCCCATATGGTGGGAAGATTAGGGAGTTTAACCGCGTGTCCGCTGGCATAGGTGTTTCCATTGGGAATACTTTGGATTTTGCCGACGTTGAGCCATAAATCGTACTATAGTTGGTAATTTCAGCAATATCTCGCCTATTTTAGCTGGCCCCTGTGAGGTCCAGCCTCAATTTCGCAGAATCTCAAATATTTGGATGGTTAGGGGGTCGGACCGTGTGTCCGCTTGTTTATTTGTGTCTGCCAGAAATACTCTTGTATTTTGCTTATGTTTAGTCAAACATCAAAATATAAATGATCATTTTAGCTCATATTTGCAATTTCTTTGAATGTCCCCTGTGATACCCAGAACCAATTCAACAGAATGCCATATAGTGGGGTGGTTATGGAGCTGACCGTCTGCTCGCGGGTATAGGTGTGCCCGTCAGGAATACTCTGGTTTTTTGCCGGCGTGGAGTCCAAAACCGTACAATACATGGTCATTTCAGCTTCATATTTGCCAATTTCGGTTGACCCCATTCTCTTGTGATCCCAAGGTTTAGTTCAACAGAAACCCATAAACTTATATTCTTAGGTACGAAAGACCAGTGGGGACATTTCAACTACATGAATTCCCGATTATATCTTCGTGAATTCACGAATTCAATTTCATGATTTAACGTTTTCAACATACGGAAATCACAAATTTACGATCTAAACTTCAAGAATTCACAACTTAAACATCATGAATTCACGATTTCAACTGCATGAGTTCATGATTTCAACTTTCAAATCACGAATTTACGATTTTAACTTCATGAATTCACAACTTCAGCTTCATGAATTCACGATTTCAACTTTTCAAGTGCACGAGTTCACAATTTTAACTTCTCTAAATCACGATTTCAACAACAGAAATTCACGGTTTCAACTTAAGATGAATCCGACATTTCTTTTTAGATAGTGGTATGTTTAAAGTCATTTACATGAAAGAAGTATGTGGCCAAATAATTATCAGCACAGTCAATGCCCAATTAGTATTAAATAGCATGCTCAATTTACTTATTGTGGTATATCATATTTTTCTGTTTTTCACTATCAAGGCATCAAATACATGTACGATGTTATTCTATTTATTTTTAGCTGATCTTGTTAACCTTCCTTGTTAAGCTTTTTCCTTTAATAAATTGCTAATTTTCATTTTTTTAATATAATAAAAAAAATCATTACAGGCATATGTTGAACGTACGGAAGAGCATTAGTGCCAGGGGTAGGCTTTTTATTAACTCAAAATTTCGAGTTACTTACTCGAAATTTCGAATTCCTGACTCGAAATTACGACTTACTTATCTCGAAATTTCTAGATAATAACTCGAAATTTCGACTTACTTACTCAAAATTTGGGGATAAATAACCCGAAATTTCGAGTTACATTGTACTTATCTCGAAATTTCGAGTTACTTATCTCGAAATTTCGAGTTAATAAGTCGAAATTTTGAGATAGTAAGTCGATATTTCGACTTATATTGTACGACTTTCATTGGTTACCGGTGAAAGTAAGGATTTAATTCAATATACTTTCTTTCGTTTGTAGCTGTTGCACATTGATGGTAGAGCACCTATGTATTTAACAGAACAATTTAATAGGGTAAAATTGTCCACACATACTGAACATATCCTTTGCTTTTTATGGAAGGGGGTGTAATATCACTTTCCACATTTCCGTGTTAACCGGATGTTTTTTTTTCTTAAGCACACATTCAACCATCATGTAGAGATACAACAAGTCCTAAAACCCACCCTTTTGTAAACTGTGTTACATTCATGTGTAAAATAAGTTTTAAATGGCGTGTATACGCCAGTTAGTCTGTCACGTTTCTTTATACTAATAATGTTTTTGTAACATTATTCATTATTTACTTAGACTTTGATTCATATTGTGTTGATAAAAGTTGATAAAAGGAGAACTTGTTGTTATATACATGTTGGGAGTAATATAAATGCATCCGATTTTACAAAAATATAGTAAGTCAAACAAATTTGACAACTCCGCGATACTTTCCTCAGATGTCCCACACGTGAAGTATAGGATCGTTTTGTTCACATGGATGAGAAGAATATGATTGGTGCGAACAGGTAGGATAATATACAACGTCTGAAGAACGCCTGAACGCACAAATTAAAGGAAGCCTTGTGTTTTTTTAGGTCGGGCGTGTACATGCCATTACTAAGTTTAAGTTTAACTTTAATAGTTTGTCCAGACACCTGTTTCTCAATCTCCATCGTTCAACCGCACTCCCTACTGTATCTTATATTATCTAAATTCTTTGTTACTCATAAATTTGGCCATTCTAGTAATGTTAATAAATCGGAATCTCGAGTTAGTAAGTCGAAATTTCGAGATAAGTAACTCGAAATTGTGAGTTAGTGTGTCAAAATTTCAAGTTAGTAACTCAAAATTTCGAGTAAGTTAGTCGAAATTTCGAGATAAGTAAGTCGAAATTTCGAGTTAGTAAGTCGATTTTTCGTGTTAGTAACTCGAAATTTCGAGATAATTAAGTCAAATTTCGAATAAGTAATTCGAAATTTCGAGTTAATAACCCGAAATTTCGAGTTAATACATACACCTAGCACTAATGCTCCTTCTTATGAACGTGTAGTTTGTTATTTGTGTAATTTTTCAATAACTATTTTCACAGATATATAAACTACGGATAGAAAACTCCGAAAATAGATGTGAGTCCGATTCAGACCCACAATCCTTTGCGCGCTTCGGTGATAATCGGGCCTTCCCGCTAGTCTCCGATTTTCACGCTATCGTTAAACTTCGGCGATATCCGTGAATTATTGCTTACATTACCGACATAGATTTTCATCGGAGAAATATTTTTGTGGAAAAGTGTGTTTTGTACGTTTTAGAATAAATACAGTAGAACTTCGGTAAGTCGAAGTTGAAGGGACTTGCGTAAAAACTTCGACACATCGGGACTTCGACTCATGAATCGCTCTCAATTCCATGACAAAATTTCGACCCGTGACTAGTCTATAACGAAAGCTATTTCATGTTTTTTTCCATCAATAATCATATATTCACATTTTACAGTGATACATATAGCATGTTAAATAACGTTTTTCACGGCTAATTATTTGGACTACCTGTTGACGTATACAAAAGAGTTACAAAAGGCGTAACAATACGAAAGGGCGATAACTTAACCAAGTTATAGTATATATTTCGCGACACCGGGTCATGGATATCATCAAATGAAAGTAGTTCTTACTGTTTACTTTCGAATACCACTACGGCAATTAAAATAGTAACGATTAAAGCATTTTTTCACACATTTTATCGCAAACAAAGGCTGTTTGAACACACGGCTGTGTAATTAACACCTGTTACACAAGTTGTTTGAAAATCGTTTTCGCAGCCAGATAAGGTGTGAAAAATGTCTCGAGATCGACGGTTTCAAAATAATCGAACAACTTCGACTTATTTGTGGTAAATTGCACTAGATTTACTAAACACGGACCACGAAAAAACTTCGACACATCGAAAAATTCGACACATAAAATTTCGACTCATAAATAGGTTTTTATAAGAAATATATAGGGGGAAAGTCGGGACTTTAATTTTTCTTCGACACATCGAGAAAATCGACTAATCGAAGTTCGACACATAGATGTTCTACTGTAACTATTGCTTCTTACATAAGTAAAAAAAGTTTAGTATTTTTTTGCTGATGAATTCAATATGGCGGTATTTTGACTACTTTTACCAGGATGCATCAAATCTTGAGACATATGAGAACTTGTGGGTACACAATTCC